TTTTTCTTAAACCCCCCCCCCCCCCCCCCCCCCACACACACAGCGGGGCTTTTCAACAGGTGGTCGATAGAATTGTTCATGAACACATTAGGATGTGCTATGCTAAACGCTTACTATCCAGGAATTCCCATCATACAGCTTGGTTTGGGTGAATTATCTATCCGGCTTAATGGAGTTAAATGTGAAATAAAGGTGAACTATACTCCCCTGTACTGTATTCAAATTAGGATGACGCAGTTGTATAAAGTGTTACTCGGCAAAATTATTGCTTCTGTCTGAAAGTTGTAAAACCCAAACGCATGAAGGTTGAAATTCTTTCGGTGAAACGTAATACTGTACAGCATTTAGACTCGCATCTGCAACGAAATCGAAAAGAACAGAAAATAATTAGTTTTAGACAGAGTTTCGTTGTAAAGAACCCAATGGGACCAAACAAAATTCGTTAAACAGAGAAAATTATTGTAGAGAGAGTCCACTGCCGAATAAAGGTGGAATCTATCTACATATTCTACAACAATCTTGTGTACAACGATTTTCTGTAGATGTAAACCATTCTTTTGGTCTCACAGGATTATCTTCCCATGTTATAGGGGTTCTTTAAGAAGAAATTCTCTCTAAAACGATTTTTTTTTCTTTAGAGATTTTGTTTTAGACAGAGTCCACCTGTATTCTCAACAGAGTATATACCGGTATATTCGTTTGGGGCCACGACAAATTTTTTTCAGTCAGGCAGCTCATCCAAGGAAAGAACATCATAGAACTGCTGCGTGTTTTTGTATCGTACCGGGCGCTACGGGGAAATCTGTATAAACTCACCATCACAACTACTCTGAAATATAATTCCATCCAGAATTGTAAGGGTTATTTTTGGGTTCCCTCTGAGTATTCCGTTTGCATAGCTTTCTTAAAAGGAGACAAAAGCGAATTCAATCAATGAAATACGATGCATACAAGCTTTCCAATTTTTTATGAAAATTCGGAAAGGCAAAAGTTATTCGATCTGAAATGTGTCTCACGAAAGTCCACGCATATTGAACGGGAAGCGTAAATTGACTCAGCAGAAATCCAGAGAAACCCCATTCACTCACCATCATTCAACTGATTTCGTTCATTCGAAAGATGATCATAACAAATTCGCCACTTTGGCGTGTACCCCAGGGGAGTGGGTTTCGATATTTATAGTCGACATATGGAATTTATTCAGAGGCTTTCTATAGACTAGTAGGTATGGCGTGGGGTTCCATTAGGAAGTATTGGAAACAGAAAAGTAACCGTCACAGAGGACGAATGAATTAATGCATTGCAGTTGTCGGTGTCCATCACACGCGGGAGGCACAACATCGCGTACTCTTCCGACCGCCGCAAAACACCTGGACGAGGGTCATCAAGCTAGCAGCGATTATGCCTTTGAGGTGAACTTTCTCGATGGTACAGCATTACTTCGTTTCTAGGACTCTGGAACACCCTCGAAAGATTCCCGACTTCCTCTGATATTCGGAAGAAACCAATTTTGGGTGAACTTATACTGTACAGTATTTCTCGAAAGTTTCCCTCGTAATCAGTTCGGAAGCGATGCTAACACGGATTTATTATTGCGCTTTCAAACCCGGAAACGCGGAATGAAGGAGCATTTCTTGATCGAATGCAATTAATGTTCAGTTAGCACTCCGAGTAAACGGACTTCGACGATTTACGGTGCTCAAATTTCGCTTGACCAAATGTCTGAAAAAACTGCATTCATCCATCGCTTCAACTGCTTCAAAATTCCCTCCAATTTTTCTTGAATTTTGTACGGAAATTATCGTTGGATTCGGATTTTTCTAGTCAATCTATGTCTTCCTTCTAATAGTTTCATTTTTAAATGCAGGCTGACTCCTTCTACAATGATTTTCTCTGTAGAACGAATTTTTTTCAGTACCATTAGGTTCTACGACGAAATTCTCTCTAAGTATAGAAACGAATTTCTTTGGTCCCATAAATGAACTTCGTTGTAAAGAAAAAGTCCACCTGTGTTAGGGATTCTCTACTACGAAATTCTTTCTGCGACGAATGTTTTCTGGTCCCTTGCTTTTTTTGCAGAGAGATTACATCACCTGCATTAAATGGAATTTTTCTACTCGATTTCCGTTGTTTGTGATTATCCGGGGGAAACACCCAGGCATTACCCCGGTTACTGAAAGTTCCAATGTGTCGGCCGACAGATTATTGTTCCAAAAACCGCACGATAGAAAGATGCAGAATCAATTAGAAGGAAAAAAACGTGTGCACGTACGACGTATATTTGCAGGATATCGTAGAATAGCAAGTTAATAACATAAACCTATCCAGATGGCCTGCTCGAATATACGATACGGGATGGGAGTGACGCGGGAGATCGGGATGGATCTAAAAAACATGGGTTCGCGGAAAGCATCCGTTTTCGTAGATCCCTATATCCTCGAGATGCAACTGCCACCCGTGAAGGCAGTTCTGGATTCCCTGCACGCCCACAACTGCAATTACGAGATATTCTCGAACATTCGAGTAGAGCCCACGGACTCAAGGTAAGCGGAAAAGCATTTTGTATCCCCAAGTTGGAAGTTGTTCACGGGGCAACGGGGACTCGAGTTTTCAAGATGCCATTGACTACGTTCGCGCGAGAGATTTCGACGCATTCGTTGCGGTTGGTGGAGGTTCAACCATGGACACGTGCAAAGCCGCCAATTTGTTTGCAGCTGATAAATCTGCGAACTTGCTGAAGTATACGAACGCACCGATTGGCAGAGGAGAACCGGTGCGACACACGCTGGCTCCACTAATAGCAGGTTCAAACATTTACTTTTTTCTCCTCTCGCACATTCTTCTGTTTTCGTTTTTCTTGCGAAAAATCCGCTGACAAAGCACGACAAAATCAAACTTGAGAGTGCGCACACTAAAGGCTGTGAACATCGCTCGAAAGTTAACGTTATAGTCATCCTTCACGCTTGGCATTCTTACACGTAGTGTATTCATTTTCTTTTCGTGAAACGAAGTCGTTCTTAACCCCACGCAGACAATAAATAATGTCAAGTACAGTACTGTACCAACAAATGGGAAAGCTTGCTTCTAAGCGCAATACTGTTATCCAAAATGAAATTCTCCGGATACTTAGTATACTCATTATACAGTACATAAATTCATAAAAAATAATAATCAATACCCAGACTTGAACCAAACGTTTGTCTTCTTCTATGGATTCATTTCCATTTACAACGCTGGCTTTCGAAACCTTTTTTCTAATCAATCATAATTTCCGGCAACCTCCTCATTCAGCAGTTAGCACGAACACACAAATTTCGAAGATCGAAATAAGAACTTCGGCATTTTAGAACAGGTTAGTCAGATCTGAGATATTTGATTAATGTAAGAATATTTTCAAAATACAATATTTACAGCAAAAAGACAGCCAACAATCGCGAAGAACGTGATGAAAGTGTGGTAGTTGAGCTTCATCCCTTATAGTGAAGCTTTATTTTTTTCCAGTGATGCGGTGCACTTCCAATTAACTGCACTGAACTTTCCCACCTTTCCATATCATTGAACAAGATTGTGAGAAGCGGTAAAGAAATTATGAAATATTAAGAACAAAATACACCCGTCAAGAAAGACTCCGAAAATCAGAGGACTGACGAAGCAATCCTTGTGTGCAGCTTCTTTCATTCTTGGCACGATAAGAAAAGTTTTTGTAGTTTCCTGTGGCCATCGAGAGATAATAAGATACATTTTGTTTGCAGATAAGTGTTTACTACGTTTCACACGACAGCTGTAACCAAGGGTTTATCTATAATTTCTTTCAGTGCCCACAACCGCAGGGACGGGAAGTGAAACAACAGGCACAGCGATTTTTGATTACACTCCATTGCACGCAAAAACTGGGATTTCTAATAGATCTATCCGACCCACTTTGGGGGTCGTTGATCCTCTACACTTGCGATCACTTCCTGAACGAGTGGCTGCTTACAGTGGGTGAGGTTTTGGAAATGTTCAATTCATAATGTTAAAATGCATGAAAGTATCATATTTACTCGAGTACAGTACCAAGCACCCGCAAATAAGACGCGAGCCTACGTTTTTTGGAATGCAGTTTGCAAAATAATGTTTCCTTTCATGAGACGCTCACCCCAGGTTTTTTTGTGTGTGTTCAAAATCGAAGCTTTTTCTAATTACAATTCTTGAACCAAATGATCCCATAAATGCATATTTTAACGTAGAGCATTTAAAATTATTGATGCCAATTATAATTGTCCAATCAATATTTTCACCTACAGAGACTTATCACCTATTGTTCGCCCCAGTTTGCTCCAAAAATGTATACCCGCATACCGTGCGCACACCACGTTTCTGCCTTGATTTTGCAGAAAAAAAAAGGTGCGCGTGGTACTCGCGCATATACGTTAGTATGAAAACAAATGCATTTATACCAAAATAATCTTTTCGAAATGAAACTTCTTGGCAAGTGCATCGGGCTTCATGATGTTCAGTGGCGTAATTTGATGCTTACTGACTACTGAACGGAGAATCACGAAACTGCCGAAGTTGATATAAACACAGCACTGAAGACAGACAAATGTCAGTTGAACAAGGCTTCATGGCAGCGCAATTTATGTGGAAGTACAGTACTGTACACTACTTCCTCCCAACAAGCCACATGCGACCCCGGTTAAATTGAGCGCACTCCGCATGGTTCCTCCCTCAGATTCGACGTTTTGTGCCACGCGCTGGAATCGTTCACTGCTATACCATTCCATGAACGAAAACCACGCCCAGATAATCCCATAAACCGTCCTGCATATCAAGGAAGCAATCCGATCTCCGATATTTGGGCGAGGGAAACGCTAAGGATTATCAGGAAATACTTCGTCAGGTGAGCAATTCTTGACAAATTTCGGGGGGCGCTCATTCAACCTAGAGTTGGAAAAAGTCAAATTCAGAAGTACATCATGTAATGTACATCTATTGCAGTATGCAACCGCGAATCCGTACTATAAAAAGGAACGAGTATAGTTCTGCAGTTTTTCAAGTGATAACACCCATTAAGCCAAACTACGTGTGCTGTCACTTTCAAAGGTTAATTGGAAGTAGGAGGGAAGTCCGAGCTGGACGCGGCCTCTAATATTTTTAGAGTAGGTCAGATTTGAAAAAAACCGTGACATAGCCCATGATGGTCCAAGGTTCTGGGATTTTTTTCGGATTAAAAAAAAAGTTTCTCAACTTACTGCGCGTAATGATATACCCAGCAGTTACAGCCGGAGTTCCCCACCCATGTCACGCGGTGATGAAAATTTGACAGGCTAGCTAAAATCATGAAAATTTTTTTCTTCGCCCATTATCTCTTTTAAATTTTAGATTACTGATTAAAATTTCAATATCTTAGCTAGCCCAACAAATTGTTACCACATGGGTGATGGAGCCGTGGAGAACTTCGGCTGTAACTAGGAAGTTTTCACTCATCATCATGCAGGAAATAAAAAAAGTTTTTCTGATTTAAAAAAAATTCTAGAATCTTGGAAAGTCTTGGGCTCTGAATATATATATTTTCTACAATCACACCTACTCCAGAAATATCAGAGGCCGCGTCCAGCTGGGACAAACCGCGTACAGCATTCGGTACTATGCAGCACAAGCGTCACGTAACCCGTTTAAACTGCAACACTGCGTTTCCCACAATCCCACGAGCTGAAGTCACTAAGACACGAAGCCGTCGGGTCTTGGGGTTTCAAGCGAAGGAGCTAGGACACCTCCGAACATGATCAACTCTGAAATAATTCACGAACACGCAAAAAATATCACTGTACCTTCTGAAAGTTGTCGTGGCGCTGGGTCATTCCCGATGACAAATCCATGTGACGAACAGCAGAGGGGAATCTTTTCAGGAGCGTAAGGGATCCCGAAGATATGGAAGCGAGGAGCCGCATGCATTTGGCGTCTGCATTTGCAGGAATCGGATTCGGAAACGCGGGAGTCCACCTCTGTCATGGAATGTCATATCCCATCTCTGGCTGTGTCAAGGACTACAAAGCCGCCGATTATAAGTAAGCTTCTCAATCAAACTGGCACTCTATCTCAGTTGGGACGAAGGTTTTCGTTCTTCCATGTTACTGTACTGTAACTCCCAAGAAAGCAGGATTTTACCCCAGAGCAACGCTCCAAATCACGACGACAAAAATTGGTAAAAATTACGTGCCCGCGAAGTTTGATCTCACGTCGAACAGGAAAGTTACGAGCGGAACCTCGATCATCCGCGTTAACGACTAGCTGAAAATTATTTTTTTAGTGAAGTGAAATGAGCAAACTATTGAAAACTGAAGAAGTTTTGGTAAGTCCGGTAATGTCGTCCTTAAGATTTATTGTTACACCATTCTTTTTAGGGGGAAGGGTTCAACGAGACTCCAAATACTGCACTGTCATTCGAAATTTCGACGCTTGCGGACATTGCTTGACAAGTCGAACATACCGTACTTGATTCACCAAACTAATATGAGAGTTGAAAATTCAGGCACAATTACGAGAAATTAAAAAGTGATGTACAGTTGAACCCAGACAATTCAAACCTCCCAAAGTTAATTTTTGTCAAGTCCCTGTCTGAATCTCCCTAGAAACAATGCATTAAAAACTCCCCTCTCACTCAAAGGCTTTCCCCTCAAACGCCTAAATAACTCAAATTTTCTGGAGGATGTTAAAAAAGCAATAAAATGTAACTTTATATGCTGTGAAAGGAAGTGAGAGATTATTGGAAACATGAACCCTTGCCTCCAAGATAAGCATCCTGTCAACTCATTTAAAAAGCAATTTCAGGCAAATTACAATTTCATTTAATTCTTTCTCCCCCCCCAAAAAACGCTTGTTTCTCTAACTCAAATCCTCCTGAATTTGAATTCTTTGGTGGATCTTGAAGAGGTTCCACTGTAATACGCAATAGGAAATGCTGAATTTGCCAGTACAGTACAATACACCATAACAGTGTTCCCAACCTTTCCGGGCCTGCCAACCAGCAAATTTCCATAAAATGTTCTGCAGACCAGCGAATTGCTGAAAATTTTCTCCAAAGCAGCAATGTTTCATGAATCGTTTGCAGGATAAAAAAAGTTTTGCTTCAAATATACTTCATGGCAGGTATTCAACAGTTTTGCATTTTTCCAAAAATTAAGTCGAGTACCAGCTATAGCTGAATATTGTCAAAGAATGAGAAAGGTGGGCTTGAAGAAAGGTTCTTCGGAATGAGAAATTGAAAGAATTTATTTTAGCAGGTGAAAATTTGTCTAAAGAATTTTTTGGAAAATGCCAACTTTTATTTTTCATTCAATGATTTCAACTGCCACTGTCTTTCTGAAATTTTAGATAAGTATAACAAGACTTCATTGCAAACATCGACCACAAGCAATTTATAGAATATTTCAGGTGACAGATACATCAATGTAATAGATCAACGGAACCTAATCTTCCGAACCAATTCAAGATCTGCAGGCGTCCGCATGCGTCGGGACATTCTTGAAACAATTTTTCATCGGGTTAAGGATTCGTACAAATTCTACTATACAACCGACGGCATTAGAGTATAGCTGATCGCAGTTCTAACTTTTTGCACTGAAGATTCAAGATGAAAACCCGATGCCTTGTATTCGTACCAAACAGGTCACCCCATCCCCTCATTCCTCACGGACTCTCGGTCGTGATGACGGCCCCAGCCGTTTTCCAATTCACAGCCCCCGCCTGTCCAGCGCGTCATTTGGAAGCTGCAGCTTTACTCGGAGCAGATATTACGTCCGCAAAGGAAGAGCACAGTGGTAAGAACGAATGAACTACGTCTGTCATTCCCAAACGTCGTAACCTCTGGTCATAACAGGAACCGTGTTGGCCGACATAGTGCGGTGGTACATGCTGGAGCTAAAAATTGACAACGGTTTGGCTGCCTTGGGCTTCACAACGGCAGATATACCTCAATTAGTGGAAGGAACTCTACCACAGGTACGGAGGACAATTCAAAATTTGTTCCAGTGATCATACAAATGAATTTTAAGTACTGTATATATGTATTTGATTCCGCAGCATCGCGTGACGAAGTTGTCACCACGACCGCAAGCAGTGGAAGATCTCGCAACTATCCTGGAAAATTCGATGACAGTGTATTAGCTTCGTTCTTGAGTCGATATTACAGAAAGAAATACAGGCGTCGGTAATCACATTGAGAACTCCGAATTTATTCTGCGTCTAAGATAAACAGTGAATACATGAATAAAACTCGCGATAAAATACTCAACAAATTCCAGGATAAACAAGTACCATTGTCGACCGAAGTCGCAGAAATCTGATTTGGAAGCAAAGCTTTTGATAAACCTAATTTCGCGGTAGCTGATGTAGCGATTTAAAGCAATAAAATCAATAACTACGAACACCGGCGTACAAGACGCTTTTTGAACACTCAACATTCAACATGACAAATGCGAACACCTAACTTTCCTACTGCGTAACAGCGCCCAGCAAAGTAAAAGCGCTTCGCCGCAGATTCCTGATAACTACAGGGTAACCGCGAAATCCGCTTATACACCAGCACAAAACGCACAAAACCCGCCATCGTGCCGTTTTCATGCTCCACTTTCGACTATTAAACCAAAACAGCCATGTTAGCGTCACACGGTATCGATTCCTTTGCAGCGAAGAGATCACGCGGGAAAATTAAATTTACACACGGCGAAGGGCTGAACACGGATTTCTAAGCTCTAGGTTTTCTTCTGTTCTATCAAAGCGAGGGCCAATTCCAAGAACGGCGGATTACCGGCTCGGGACACGGTTGGACCCCGCAGCTGGCCAACGATGACACCTAGCGACACTCATCACATCGAAAGATTCTCCGTCCGATCATCACACTAAATACTTGAGAAAATTTTCCGCTTGTACAGATTCTAATCATTACTACGAAGCTCGCATGACGCGGGCTTAAATAACGGGGTTTCGCATGTTTGAATGTGATCAGGGAGAAACATAATAGTCAACAGTTTTCGAAGTCTCACGTTTCGTCGATTCAACAGCTTTTACTCCGAAGTACTCCATGTAATGGAACACTGATTCCTTCGACTGTCGTTTCTTCAATGAGGAAGGGTGAATATTCAACAACCACGCGAAACCCCGGCTTTCCGTTTCGTCGCGCCGCTTTCAGAAATCACACGTAAACTTAGCATCACTGTGCTTCGAAGGGGAAAAGGATCCCGAAGCCGCACGGAATGCATACACATGGAAGAGCGCAAAGCTTTCATAGTCATTGTTGCAGTTTCCCCATTCACAGAGCAGAAAACGCGGGACCCGCGGCTCAAAAACATGTTACCAAGAGAACCGATCAAATCAAAAACAGCAGAAAGGGGAGGAGAGAATCGCCGATTCATTTAGTCAAATAACCAGGTATCGTTGAAAATGCGGCACTCGCCGCTGACTTTGCGTACTCAGGGGACATCGCCAATCTTTCAAGCTGCACATCACCAGGACATTGAGCAATATTTTTCTCGTAACGGAAGATAAGAAAGGCTGAATACAAAGCTGACATTCATCAGCAATGCCACAAAAAACGAATAATTTCTGCAACAGTAGCACCGAACACAAAACTTCACCCTTCAGGAATGCTCAAGAATTTTTCTTGTTCACAAACCATGATTGATTTTACGTATAGAACAAGCAATCAACTCACTCACTCACTACATTCTTTGGAAATACCCATTTGGTGGTACAATTGCAGATCGTTGCTTTTTTTTTCAAGAAACCCAGCACATGCGTGAGCATTGATAGTAATACTCGACTCGTAGGACATTTGATTCCATGGATTTGATGGAAGATTAAAAAAAAAACTTCATACTTGACGAGCATAACTGGAAATAGCAATCTTTTATACAAAACTCGTCGTTAAGAACACGATTAAGTAGTCAGCTAGAAAGCCTACTTTCGATCAGTTTGTGCTATTCGAAGACCGCCAACACAGAAATTCCAAGACGCGTATTCGAAAAAGGATCGCACTAGAACTGCGGTCGCATCAGATGATCAGAAATATGTGGCACTGCCTGCAATTGTAGATTGGTTTGTGTGCATGATCTTCTCACTCATTGAAAGACAAATAAGTATTGAGTTAAGCTACGCTTTCGTAGGGTTCATTTAAAATATTGCGAATCAACTCCTCATCTTTTTCGAAGTCTGATATGAGCACCGTTTCGTCATCGAGCGCGCCGTATGGGAAGCTCAAATCTTCTTCAGATGACAACATAGCGAGTTCGGAATTCCGACCACCTTCGAAATCTTCAAGCGCTGGGTTACCGTTTAAAGATTCACACAGCGAAGCAGTGACGAAATCACTTTCAGTGGCAGACCCATCAAAAACAGTTTCGATATTTTCAAGTTCTTCGGAGATGTCTTCACATGTCAGGTTCTCCGGACTACCGAACGAAAAATCCGCAAAATCGGAACGGTAACTCTCTATCAAGAGATCTTCTATATCCCCTTGATGAGTAAGTGGAGAGACGGGTTGACACAAACTTTCATCCAAGATGTCGTCCTCGTCGTAGGAGCTCGAAGTCGATGTGGTGGAGGAGACTTCCGGGCAACTAAGCTCACACAAGCTTTCCCCATCTACTTGTATTCCGTGATCAATCTCCACAGTTTTCAGCTCCGCGTCAAGGCAAATTTCTGGATTCAATCCTTAAATCGAACAAAACATTTTGAATTTCTCTCAATCACGTTCTATTCGGATACGAACGATGGAAGGATTACGCTCTTCAGCTCAGGGTTTTCCCACCTTTTGTGGCGCGTAACACTTCAAAGACATGGATACAACTTCGTACCATTATTCATTAGAGGTACAACACATTTTTAATCACAATATGTTACAATGGCCGAAATAAAACAAAAGTTGTAAGTTAAGTGTAGCACGAACTCATACAGGGTCATCACAGCACCAAAGAAAATATAACACAGAAAAAATGAGGGCACGGATGCATCAGGGAAGCCGTTAAACACGTGATAAATATGTAAGAAATATTCAATTTCCTTCAGCAGACGCTCATTTCACTGTTTGGGCTTCATAAATGCAATTTGAAGAACCTCTTGCGAATTATGGACAGAAAGCAGCTTTGCTTCGTCAAAAATAGATCACACAAAGCCAAGGCAACCCATACAAAAATCCACTAATCAAAATTCTATGGGAGAGCGTGAGGGACTAATGGAATTATTGCCCGGAATGTAAAGATGACAATGTAACAAAGGTCATTTGAACGAAGGAAAAATAATTTGTGCTCAACCCCATTAAATTGTTTAATGTATTGATTTTTTCTCCTAAAATTTTCGAGTAGTAAAATTCTGGCCACTCCCCCCTTTCATGTATCATCATCTACTAAACCTCACGATTTGTTTTCCCATTCTAAGCTTCTTAATCGAGGAACATGTCTCGTACGACCAGGAAAGTGGCTGCGCGCCAGAGGCTGAAAACCCTACATACGTTATGTCTCCATCATTTAAAAAGGACGCACCCCACATCGACGTCACTTCATCCCTTAAATATATTCGAAAATCAAATCGAGACTCACCACTGGATTGAATAGCTTGCCCTTCGATGCATATTTTCTTCGGAGCAGGACCAACGAGAAGTTCGTCAAACCTTGCGTTCAAATCTACGTCGTATCGCTCCGGCCTCTGCCAATCTGGTTCGTTATCCACCTGAACCTCGCTTTCTGCTGACGTCTTCTCATCAGATCGATGGGTTTTCAAATGTGCGAAAAAATCACCAACAGAACGAAAATCCTTGCTGCTCTTGGTACAAATGTAACAAATGAATCTCGCTCCAGAACACTTCCGACTATTGTGGGCATTCAGCGTGTACTTCCGACAGAAGCAACGACTGCACTTGGCACACATGTACTTGCTCGACTGGTGATGCAAAACGTGTAACAACCACGCTTGCGAGGATGGAAGCTTCTTTGAGCACATCGGACACGAGTACAGTTTCGATGAATTTGTTTGCACCAACACTTTGATGAATCCCTCTGTTTTCCAATCTTTCTCCTAAACAGAAATGGGAAAATTTTTCGAATGCTTTCATTTACTGCGGCTTAACCGACGAAACAGAGATATGGACACTGGCCACTCGAAATCTAGGAATACGAAGACACAGAACATGAACTCACCAACGGCGCATGCTGGAAACCGAAGTGCTCCTCCAGTTCTTTCTTGAACCCAGTGATCAACGGACAGAATGGACAATGGAAGACCTCATAGGCATGCTGCTGCAGATGAGCATAGAAGTCATTGGGATCTCGGGAAGTAACGGAGCATATGTAACATGGGGCTTTCACCACTGAGCATTCTTGTTGACAATGAGACTCCAACAATAACTTGTTCGGAAAGCAACGGTGACATTTCTTGCAATAATGCTTTGCATGTAGATGCCCATTCAGCACGTGTACTTGCCAAGTGGAAGTACAATCAAAACTTCTGTGGCACATATGACATACATACGGTTTGACTTCGTGCTCTTCGGAATGTGAACGTTTCAGGGCTTTACTTCGGGTGCTTTGCACGGGCTCCTCCGCTTCCACCTTGATCTTTACTTCGCAGGGTTCCGTTTTGATTGCAGAGGTTGATGGCATCGGGTCACTCCCATTGGCTTCAACGCGTATGACGACTTTGTGTTCCACAGCATGCGTCATGAAATCAGCCTTCGACGGGAGTAGTTTCCCGCATGTGTCACAACGGTAGAGCGTTTGACGATGCGTGCTTGTGTGGGCGTTCAACTCGGCCACACTACGGAAGCCACAATTACAAATCTCGCAAATGTAGATAACTCTTTGCACAACCGGGATGTCAGCTCCACACCGATGGCGCTTGAATTCGTCCAACCGTAGAAATTGGATACCACATTCAATGCAATATGCGACAAGCGGTTTCCCATGGGATAGTTTGTGGTTATTCAAAGACCAGACTGACGCTTTTGTGCAGCCGCAAAGCTCACAACTGATCATATTGTTACCACACACGTGTGAATTGACAGCACTGGGCGACTTGAATCGGCTGAAACATGAATGGCACGAATGTGGATGCGTATGCGTGAACACGTGCTTGAAAAATCCTGCACGCTCCACGAAACTCTCTCGACATTGGGGACAGTTCGCAGATCCAGTCTTTGAGAGCTGATGGATTTGCTTACAGAAACTCATGTGCTCTTCAAGGGCTTCCGTACTTTTGAGATCCTTCGTACACAAATGGCACGTTGATCGGACATTAACACGGGCTTGTGTTTGGAACGTCTCAGTGCCTTCGATTGGTTTGCATGGTTTACTCCGCTTCACATGCTTTTGCAAGCTCTCTTTGCGAGCAAATATCTTGTGGCAGCTAGGACAGAAATTTTGACCGGTGTGCAGCTGCATATGACGCATGAGGTAGTACAGACGGTCAAACCTTTTCGGACATATGTCACAAGGGAACTGCTTTACAACTGCTCCGCCTGCAAGAACCTCTTGCACATAAACCAAGTCAACCATCTTGGGATCTCTATAATGATTCAGCAAATGCGAAGCAAACTTGTTCTCTGCTGTCTCCCGCAAGGGACAAAATTGGCACACCCAAATAAGCGAACCCGTGTCATTTTTTATCCGCTTTGAGCCACTGCTGTCACTAGAAATGGAAGCTGTGGCACTAGGAATAGCAGCAGAAGCATTTGGTAAAACCCGTCTTTTGTCACCTAGTGGTCGCTTCGATTCAACAACTAATGTTGCGGGAAGCGTCGTCATCTTGGGAAGGACAGAACCCTGTGGCCGAGGCAGCACGCAGCATAACTGGACATTCGTTCCAGTGGTAACCTGGCTGGATAGGATATCACCTGACTGAACGGAAGATCCGTTGTTCGACTGCGCAGATGATACGCTAGTAGAATGTACTGCGGGCGCCCCTACCAATTGAGCATCACGTGTCTTCGATTGCACAGCAGCCATAGTTTCAGCATTAGACTTCCGTTGAGTATCCGTTTGAACATTTGCAGATGAAACGATGGATTGGGCATCATCCGTGGATTCATCGGCAGCTGATTTCCATCCTTTCTTCGACGGGTACAAGATTTTCTCGAAGCATAACGATGGTGCAAAAGTAGCGAGAGCTTCTGTGGGATTTGTGGGTAACTTGAAAGCAGTGCGAATTGGTTGGATTTTCAGAATTTCCTGCGCACTTCTCAGATTCAAAACAATCGGTGGTAGACGTTTATTTCCATCGATGCCGTCGGAGTTGATCACCAGTGACGGTTGACTTTTCCCACTCAGGCCAGAAGCATCAACGCTGTGGAAAAGCACAGAAAGCATTCAAGTACCAGACTAAGCTTAAATTCAAAACATATTTCACGAAGAGCATACCGATTTGTAGTCGTGACGGCATTTGAAGATCCATTTATTTGGTTGGGTATAAGCGCGAACTTCAAAATGCCACGATCTACAGTGGCCAGCTCGATTATGCGCACGCTGCTCCGCTGAGCAGAAACAGGAACACATACACCGGGAATAATTGCACGGGCGTCAGGGCGGGGCTACAAAGAAAATAGAAGCGATCAAATATCTTCGAAGATATTTAAAAATAGTTTCTACACTCACGCGGAAAGAGGCTGTCGTCGACGAGCTCGACGAAGAAGCTTCCGGTGACTTCAATAGCGCTACGGGTGCGGAACTCCTCTCGGTCGACGAAGTTCTTGATGTAGACGGATGTTCTCCGCCGAGGGAGAGAGATAGCACATCACTCATGATTGGAGAACGGTTATTTTTTAATTGGGGTTCCGAAATAAAATCGCGTTGTTGGCCACATAAAAGCAGTAGTGACACATTCGCCCACTGCTTGCGATTCTGGGTACTGAAAAAAGTGAACAATAAAATACATGATTTGTCCCGAGCTACGAACAATATCGAAAAAAATGAGGCATGAAGAAAGAGTTACAAAAAAATCATGGATGAAACCATCAATCCAAAACCCAATCCTAACAAATTAAAAAAATAGAAAATCGTATGAGAAAGGGAACGCGACTCCCGGACAAAAATGCCCAAAAATACTTTGGATAAAAAGAGACCACCTCACGGACACAGCGCAATGCGACAAGCGCGAGAATGAAAAAAAATGATTTTGAATATTTACAGCAATATTTGACACAATCATCACCAGTTCATGAACTCAACCACATTTAAAAATCGGATCGAAGTGGAGCACTAATGCACTATCGAGGCGAACCCTGTTCGATTTGCTTGAATTTAACGGATAGCACCTGTCTGAATCGTTCCACTCAAATGGAAATCGCGCAAGTTTTTGAACCTTTGCGTGGATACAGCGTCGAACTTCAAGCGGCTTATTACTGAATCGGACTCCGAAAATGATCTCGCCAAACTCAAGCACAAATAAACGCTGCGGATCGCATCTTCATCATTGCCGGTCTGCAAAGTTTCTCTCAGAAGCCCGCCGATTTCGTCATTCGAGAGCATCCAGTCTCGAACACAGGCAACTTCGGCTAGATTCATCAAGACGATCCATGCACTTCTCTTCACTTCAGGTAATGACTGACGAACCGATTTGCACGCGATGTGAAAAAGTTTTCCGTGTCTTATCACTTCCTTGATAACCTCTTCATTTTTGGTCCAAGTCGCGACGAAAAACAAGAAAGAACCTTGGAATCGTGCGACATTCAAGGATCCGTTTTCTAAAGCATCAACGAAACGCGGGAGCAAACGGCACCTACTGAAAAGCATACTGCTAGTTTTTTCCCGCGACATATTCGCCATCACACATATGACACCAACAAAAAAGATCGTTCGGAAATTAGACCGTCTACGGGATAAGCCCGCGACTGCGAAGTTGGCAAGATGAACGCATAAGTGAGACCAGGAATCTCCATGACGGATCCCATCGTAATCCAAACTCAGAATTCGCATCAAACGCAACACTGAACCCAACACCCGGGGATTCTCACGGATGCGAGACCATGAATGCATCAAAGTTTCGCCAATATGGTGTCGTTTATGCAGTACAGCAGATCGGGCCATCGCAGAATTCACACAAAACGAAACGAGCATTTCAAGCTGGAGCACTTCCATAGCCGCCAGATTAGATTTGGATACCGAAGGTTGCTCTTGAAATACATCCACGAAACCATCCAAGAGATTGTCCGCGAACTTGGTGTCAAGTTGTTCCTGAAAAAGTTCGACTCAATTTCGTAATTTTTCCTTTCTACTGAAACGATCAGCCATAACACTAAACAATGCCGTTTACCACAACTTACTTTAAAAAGTGAGTAAAAGTTTTTACTCACTTTTTAACAAAAAGAAAATTTTACTTCGTTGCTATTCCACGTTCATAGTTGAAAACGTCAGAACAAATTCAACTCAACTATTCGCCCAAAATCTCAGAGGACCCTCATCACATATTAGAACTAACGTCGTATCATGATGTCAACAAGACCGCTTTTCGTGAAAAGTCTTGAAAACAAGAATTGGCGGACACATGTCGTCGTCAAATAAACATGGCACCACCGGACGACACACGGAAGCTCTGTCACAGGCAATCTTAGGCAACTGACCAACGAATTACCGACGTCATAACTTACAGCGGCAAATTCTGATCCTGAGAAAACAGCTCTCAAGGCGATGAGAACTTCATGTTTTCTGAAGCAATCCAAACGCGTTTCACACACACCCAACAAAGTCGTCACCAAGGCTGCATCCAAAGATAGCTTCTCCGTGTAAGTTCCGTTCATCCGTTCAACAGGGCAAACATGATAAAATTCTGCTCGTACACTGGAGTGCAGACGGTCGCTGGAACGCAGTCGACTACCAATTTTAGTGGTCAAGGTATAAATGAAAGTCACAGAAGCGCTTGATAGGTCTGGATATGATGAAGCGTCATTTTCTAGGAAGTTCACTACTCTGGACATCAGAGTGCCGAAGCGCTTCCAATGATCTACTGATGCCGCATTAACGAAGTCAAGAAGCTCCAAATCGTCGCTGGTAGTCAATAAGACTGTTAGGAAGTTCAGGCCCTCTTCTAAACTTCGTCTTGCAGCGCGCTCGCACACGTAATTCCACAACAAACCAAAAAGATAAAAGATAATTGGAAGATCGCACGCGAACCGCCCGCGAATACCGGAGACGAGAACATGACACCATACGCGGAATGCTTCACCGACGAACGAGGCTCGGACATTAATTCTATCGCTCAACTGATCTTCAAAACACACGATTCCGTTTCCAAAACTCTCAGTGGCATACTTTATACAAGGCATGATATCCAGGGCGAGGAGAAGAGTGCGTGACTCGTCCGGAAACTTCTGCAACATTAACTGAAGCACTCGTAGTGTTACCGTAAGTACCGCAGGAGTACACGGAATAGCCCTCTCGGCAACTTCGGTTGATGGCGACATCACGGACACATTGTTCAACGTACATACCAACATCTTCACGAGACTGGAGGACAGCAAATGAGAACCATTAGTGAAGAGTGACTTTTCATTTACACTTTTCTCCAGGAGAAGTGAAATGATTTTCAGGGCTTTTTCACGAGTCAAAACTGTCTCCCGTTTGTCTAATACGAAGCTCAAGGCAGTACCCCAGAGACCACCTGAAAAGTAAAAGTTGAATTAATAAGATCACAATCCGATCCAGCCAGGTTTCGACCTAAAGTGTAACGCGTTAAATTTACATTTTTCTTAATCGCACTTGAACGAAAATTAACTGACTTGAGGGAGACGTTCAACATTAGGCTACTGTACCCAAATAACACAAAGTACAGTAGTTTCGGCGCTCTCCCAGAAGCTGTCTTAGAACGTAAATGCCACGGAGCAACCGAAGAGCAGTTTATTTACTTTGGTGCAAAACCCGAACAACCAAGGTGGTAAATTAGAACTCAAACAAGAGTCTCCCTCATAAATCGACACAGCAACAGAAACGGAAGACGCATCAATTTCTCGAAGGCGTGCTGGGTTCAACAAACCTGAAATATTCGTAAGTTCCTTGAATCTTGAATCGAAGTCTTCGTCCACCGATAGTACACGAGCTAAAAATTCCAACAAGCTTCCACGAACAACAGAATCATCGCTTTCCATCAGCGGAATAATCCACTTGAGCCAATTTTCGCCGGAGTTTCCATCAAAACGGATCAGATTTCTCGCCAGGTGCGGAGCATGTGCCATGGACAGATTCTTCAGGATGAAGCAAAGGTATTTTAAGGCCCCGTGATCCATGTATGCATTTCTTGATACTGCTCGGCACAAGACTTGCTTCAATCCATCGATAGACACACAGAACACTTCATTGATTATTGAAACAGCAGTTCGATCGTTCAAGCATTTAATCCAGCCCGGTCGACGCGTCAGCTCCTCAAAGGCAATCAAACAATCCATTCTCCACGAAACGCTCTGAATATCCATCGCATCCTGCGCCCGAATGTTTTTCTGAACCCAGGAGATCATGACGGATGCAAATTGCTCTCTAGTAGCAACATCTGGGAATGCTCGATGAGTAGCGCGTATCAGATGGATAACATACTGCCTTAAGGCAATCTTCGCAGGAGGTATTGTATCCGAACAGTCCGAAACGGCTAAGACGTTGGGCACCAATACTCGTAAAAAGGTGACCAGACTTTCGATGCTTTGAACATCTCGCACGGGAAACTGAAGGAGGTCGATTAAAGTAAGTAGGTGTTGAACTTGCTTATCCAGGAAGCTTTTCTCTAGTCGAGTAATTTTCATCTTGAGGAGTTTCGTCCATATATACGCTTGCGGCATCCGAACTGGTTCATCTTGTAACCCAGGAAGCAACTTGGAGTCATGCAGAGCAATTAAGCATAAGGTCGCTCGCAAAGCCGTGTAACTCAAAGGGCCCTTCGTTTCATCGTGAAATTCATCGATAGTCATCAAAAATCCAACCGGGTCTCGAACTGACACTCCAATGCCCATCAAGCCGCTCAACTGAAATTCTTTGTGGGGTTGACGCTGTTGCAACAATATCTTTCTCCGCACCCGAAAAAATTTCGCCACAACGGCTTCCAAATGACCGGGTCTTTCAACCTTCGCCGAGTTAGTTTCCATATGATCCATTTCCCAGTCGACAGGGATCCGATAATGACAACCGATCAGCCGAGACAGTCGTACTTTTTCCCCGTGTACTACGTATAAAGGATGGAAAACAACTAAAAATGCCAATGCGGCGATCACAGAACGTTGGACGTCTTCAACAAGAATCAAGGCAGCCCTGATCAAATTGAGCAAAAAACTCGCATCATCCCGCAATGCTTTCCTCACTTCATGCTTTGAGCTAAGTTTCAAAATAATATGGGCTATTTTCGGCAAGGATTCGATTTCTTCGATCACGTTTCGTCTATTTTCAATGAGTAAACACTCATTGAATAAATCCACGATCCACCGAAGACCCACGTGACGTAAGAAAAATTCCACTCCTTCAACGGAGTCCATATTCAGCGACAATTCCGTTAAGAGTGAGTGTCGGTCGAGTGGCAACAAAGCCGATTTCAACGATACCATTGAACTTAGGAAAGAACTGTGACACCTTTCCTTCAGAATACTCAGTTGAATCGGTTGAACGCAGAATACGTCTTCTGGCGTGAGAATGGTTTCACGAGTCGAAGAAAATGGCATCTTATCACAATCATGACCTTCTTCCGCCAACAAGAGGACAATATTCTCATATGCAATGCGTCTCATAGGAGCACTTGAGCAGAAGAGTGCCACAGTGGTACATCTCACATCTTCCTCCCTCGATAATTCGAAGATTTGTCTGAATGGATTCCATCCAACTGCTGGCCTAATCGCGAACAAACTTCCTTCAGCCGCATGGATCAACAAAAATGGCATAACTTCGATAGCTGCTGACTTGAAAATAAGGCGATCCTCAGATTTGCCTTCTAATAATTCGAGCAGGAATCTTGAAATAATCGAAGATGATGGGCCTTTGCTAACCGAATCACTCGCCATTCCATTCTCAAGTAACGTCCTAAAGATCAACGGACAACGGAAGAATCGCTTGGAAGATGGATAAATCAACTTGAAAACGTTTGCCGACGTTAGCCTCACATAAGCACGATGGTGAGTCAACCAACGATGAAGAAGCGTACAGGCATCAGTGAAAAAATCTTCCGAGCAATCAGATTCCAACAAGAAAATTACCAGCTTCGTGCAATGTTCCTCATCATAAACACAGACAGATTCCATTGCGCATCTTGCCAAAGATAAATTGCATTTGTTCAATCTACCTCCTCCAGTACATTCGAGAAATGACACGTATGCTTCTTGGCTTCTCGCTTGCTTCCCAATGTACAACGAGAGATCACAATACCCCGCATAATTCATGAATGCTGCGGCCATCCACCTCGCCTTCGGCCAGTTCGTCCAAATCCACGGATCCAGCCAGCATTCCAAAAATGTCAGAACAGCAGACGAAGGTAGCGCACGGACCGCTTCTTCCGGCGAGGGCAACAAGTTCAGAAGAACAGCAGAAAACATGCCTCCGGCCATTTTCATGATCCAAAAAATGTTGTTTGCATCATCGGCGAAGTTTAAATTTCCCAAGATTTCATCAAGAAGCTGAAAATTGTACTTCAAAAAATTATTTATTTCAACCATTATAACGTAGTGGCGAGCGAACACTTACGTCTGGATTTGATAGTTCCATTAAATCGGCGAAGGCCAGAACGGATTCTTCGATCTGCGTCCAGTTGGCAGAACCATCGTCTGACAACGTCGAGATCGAGCACAGACGCAAAAATACGACAGCGCTGTTCATCAGTTCAGGGAGAACTAGCCAGGACTTCATGGTACTACGACTACTCAGAGTCACGAACCGTTTCATTCGACGCGCTAATATTTTCAGGACGAAACAGCACAACTCGAAAACACCGAGAGAGGAATCATCCATTCCATTCGGAAAAATCGATTTTTTTTCAGAAGAGGAAATATGCGTGCGATGATTTGTCTTTGTATCACGAAACCAGTCTGATCCTTCTAAACCACTGAACTGCGTTTCACATCGGAGAATAATGCGGTCAGCCAATTTTCTTCCCAAGCATGAGATGCACTCCAAGGCAGAGCGACAACAACTTTCATCGTAGTCCATCTTTTCGTTAGAAACTATCTTGAGCAGGGCACAAAAAATTGAGGCATTCTGCAAAAATACTTCCGGCGGGAAATCTTGAAAGACCACATGGCTGATGAAATTGCAAACCTGGCTTACACGAACCGAATTCGAGGCGCAAGATAGGGGCTTGACGGCAGCCTCCAGAATCTTCTGATCATTCTCTGATATAAGCACAGTCGGAAATATTTTCTGGAAGAAACTCTGATCGTCGGACTCCGTGTCCTTCGACAAACTATCCGTGGTAGCCAGCGGTTCAGCCACTGGCGGGGTACTCAAATACCTTTCCGGTAAGGCGTCTTCCTCTTCAGAACACATTTCCATTTCGTAACGCAGCGTCTCACCATCTACAACATGAACGAACAAACTTCAGACGCTTATCTACATCGATGCTGACGGAGTTGATCACCAACGATGGTAGAGTTTCCAGGGCCTGAAGCATCAACCCGTACAAAAAAGGTCTCCCGAAGGGGACCAGGAGCCTGCTTCATTAAAAATATTTCGAACTAGAACTGAACACTGAAATAGAATTTGTACGCGGAAACTGCCTTTTGGGGCTTGACCAGAACCCATCTTTTCGCTTGAACCTAATTTGAAATGCAGTTGTGTGCTATCCAAAGTCTAGTCCTTATAAGAGTTTGCTTCAATATTTCTTAAAAAATCTTCAGGTCACTGAATTACCAAGGGTCTAAATGATTTTCGTTCGCACTCTAATTTCAACGCTTATTTCGCGGTAATTAAAGTAAAATTCGGACATGTGTGACCCACCAAGGTTAGGTTTTTTGGAAGACTTCCAGTAAATCAAGCATCCAAAAATCCTGCAAGGAAGTCCTTGATTGATTCGTAGTCTTCCGAAGGCTAAAATGTGAAAATTTCAAGCTCGAAGACGGAAAATGAGTGCCAGAATCGAAATTAACTAAATTCCAACACTTGGATTAAGCTGGCACGGAAATGTCCTCAAACTTGAGCAGGATGAGTCACAAATATGAATAAAATTCGAAAAATGACACATATGTTTTCAAATAGTGTTCGGGATAACCAACAAGTATTAATAATAAATAATGCCAGGATCCAAACGTCCAGCTCATCATCGCGCAAATATATATCACGGTGTTTCCAGCCTATCAGCAGGAATGCATGCTACAGGAATAATGTCGCGCATCTCCACACGGATATGAAGAACTGTAATACATACGATAATCGCAAGGCACGAAAGATATTTCACGGTTTCAATGCTTACTCGAACATATGCTGCCGTCCATGAATTTTAGAGCGAAGCTTCCCTTGTGATCCAAAAGTGGATGTAATCGGTGTTCGGCTCGTTCTGAGTCCAAGACAGTTCTCTTTCGGGCAATCAGCGAACAAGGTCAGCCAGTGTGATCTTCTGCTTTCCCTTGCAAATGCACAGCACTCGAGAATACTGAACGAAATAAAACGCTGATGACACCAGCTGCCGATCCTTCAATGAGGAGGGGGGATATTCACCAACTGCGCGAAACCCCGGCTTTCCATTTTGAGGCGACGCTTCCAGAAATCACAGGTAAAGTCAGCATCACTCAGCTTAGAGAGGATGGAAATTTAGCCATGATCCACACGGAATGTAGACGCGGAAGAGCACGCCGCTCTCATCGTTGCCACTTACATCATTCACAAAACGGAAACTGCGAAACCGCGCATTGTAAATAAAGCGATGGAACCAGTCCAATGAGACAAAAAAAGTGGGGAGAAAATAGTCAAATCAGTCAATTCCGATATCTACGCACCGTCAGGAATGCCCACCGACTTCGGAAAAGGAATACAGCATTTGAAAAATAATTTCTGGAGCAGTCGGGCGATCACAACGCTTCCTGCATGAAAAATGCTCAAGGCGCTTATCAACCTCACCGGTGCACTAAACAAATTATTTAGCCAACGTACGGATCGACGCTTAATCATTGCTTTTAATGGACAGATTATATCCCCTTTGAACCCAGATCAATTTCTGCTGAAGCGAAGGGTACCAGATGTAGCTCGGTCAACACACTCACTACAATTAAGGAAACGCGTCAATTTCGGTCGAAGCGGCTCCGACATTCATAAATCAATACAGAAGGTCAGGGAATTCAAGGATCACTCAGTGTGGCTCAAGACAATCATTCGACGAAGGAAATCTACACATCGAACAGTACCCTCTTCTGCAATACCGCACATGTCGCATTAAGAGCGCAGTTTTAAAAAATCAGCGGAGTAACGCAATACGGTGCTTCGCTATTGCATGGGCGCAGAAATGCGAACGGGTTTCTTCGTGACGATGCAGATGCTTGCGTCATGAAAGTTTCCCCCAACATGTAAAAAAAATGAATATACGGGTAACAAGCATGATCCACTTTCTCAATTAGAGCACTTGGTTAGTTTCATAACGCGAAGAAATTGCCCAAATACGACCTTCGCGCTGATTTGTCTTCATCCAACATCACAAACCTCAAATATAGCTTTTTCACTATAACGCATTACCGTCAAGCGAATGCATCCCATGCGTCCGGTATTCACTTGACGAGCACACGCGCGCTGAGAGAGGCCGCCATATTAGATCTGCTGATTTTCGAGCATGACGATCATATTCCGAAGGCAGGACCATAGAAGCAGACTGACTATGCTGCCTGGTCATGCAGTATAGGCAAGCAGGATGCTTGCCGTGCTATGCAGTACAGTTCAGTGCCCGAAATATGGACGAACATTTTGAAAATCAATGCAATTATATACAGCAAACTATTTACTCCACAAAACGAATTCTTCAATTGTAAAACTGACAAATCAAGCCTCGATGAATTGAAGGTTTAGCTGGTACGTATACCCTGACTTCGTTCGTTGTAGGTCAGAAAAATGACGAACTCCGGACATCCAATAATGCAGGCTGCCACGTGGTCAATGAGGATGGTAGGATTCCTATGCGCACAACGCTTTTTTTTTTGTAGAACTTCGTTTATTTATCAGTTAAGTCAAGAATTTTCCCGAAGCAAATTGCGAATGCTTCCCGAGTTTAACAAATTGTATGATCTGTATATGCTGCATGCATCGCATTTAGCTGACTATAGCTCCTAAAAATATATGCCAGGAAGGATCGACACGCTCGACTCGAATCGTTGAACTGTGTGAAATTTCGCGGACAACGGCAAAACACCATACAAGTTCTAGAATGATGCAGCTGGAAATCTCAATCGAAGAGAATCTCAGAATTACTTCGTCCACAGGAAAAGATAAATGATTTATTCTCATCACACGTGCTGCTCTTTATTCACAGCAATTCATCTGGACTTTCAACTTTAAGCATCTAACTAAACCACAAGCTATCAACCACTGAAGTACAGTACTGTATAAGAAAGTGTTTCATTTGCAAGATTTTTTGATTTTTTGAGAATACTGTAGGATATTTTTGTATTGTTTTTATTTTATTGCAGATTGAAGAATTTTCCTATTATAAAAGTTTTTCACAGTGTGAATGACTCTTAAAACTGCAGAAAAAGGTTTTAAAATTGTGTTCAATCATGTGCCGAAATTATGGTAGTTATTTAATTCTCTTAAATTGCTTCTTCGCGATCATTTTTGTCTCAAATTAGCAGGAACAGGTTTTATCCGAGAACCATGTAATACAATACTTGGAAGGTAAAGAAGATGAGGAAAAGATGCTATTGTGGTGGCGCGGAGGGGGGGGGGGGGGTACGTATACATATCAATAATTGTTAGGACGCTCTCTTTGTCTGCCAATTTATGAAGTTTGGAAAATATATTGGCAGAAGAAAACAATGGTCCTACTGACTAAGGAAATCCACTGTCATGCTGACACTGAGCCAGACCACATGATGCAATGCATAGTGGTGACAAATAAATCAAGTTCTTCCAATTTATTGAATTTTTGGATCTCCTGGCTTTTCACGACTTCCCTCTTGCTGGAGTGAAAATATTGATGAAAGGGTAAAACTCTGGGTAAAAATTTATTTCAGCAGTCGACTCAAATTGAGATCATGAAAAAGGCTTGACGAAAATGTTGGAATGGGGTTCTAGTTTTAATTTAGCAATAGATCATTTAAAGATTATCGAGAAAATTTGGGGAATTTAGCCGTTTCATTCCTGGAAATATTTGTATCCAGCATCCATGTTCTTCCAGAATTAGTTGCGGATGAAAACAAAATAATGGGGAACGCTATTACTTTGATGAACGGGGTTTCGAACATCCTGTGAGTCAACATTTTCAGGACTTTTCCTCAAATTTATTAGTTCATGAAAAAATGTTGGGAACACTGCTGGCCAACAGAATGTATTGTACATCATATCCTCAAGATAACGAATGCATAGCTACCTCAATATGGAAATATAACTCATTTCCTGAATGAACCATTCATCCAACTTTGAGAAAAAAAACAATAAATTATCAAACTAATGGTAACTTTGCCCTCCTAGACTGTAAGAATAAAAATCCGACGGGAAATTCCCATACATATTTTCCGATGGATTAAACTTGAAGTTCCTATACTTGACGGCAGTTAATTGCCGAACTTGTTACTTCGAAGGATTTCGTTAAACCTCTGATGTTTGAGGATTCACCAAAATTGAATTGATAGGTCATTAATATCCGTTACAGAAGTTTTTGAAAGCCTTTCATCAGTGTAATTCAGCCTTGATATAATCTTCTCATGCAAATTTTTTTTTATTTGGGATTTTTTTCCACAGCCTCTAGAAATCTGACGAATTATCGTAAAAACGCAAAAGGTGTGTAGTGGTACTACACAGATATTAAAACAAGATTTGATTCAAAATAAATTTCTTGGCATTTTAATAATTTATCCAGTCCACCTTAATTGGATTTTTATCTCGGGTTAATTTGACTTCCATTGGAACCGATGGTTAATTATTCTAACTCCAGTTCTTCATTCGTGTACTAATGTCGTTTGGACAAAGAAGTGAGCTATAATATCCGCACCTTTCTATTTCAAAGGGGAGCACAGAACAAGACTACTGCATCCACATTCGACTGCAGTGATCTATTTAAGGAAGTACCATACACGCAGAAAAATTAATGTTTCAAAATTAAGAGAGAAAAAATGAGGGTGGGCGTCATGGGCAGGTAGATTATATCATCGTAAGAATGTAATTTCAAAAGTTCGGATGCATGTAATCCTTGATTCTAAGGGGGAATTTCAACCATTTTTGAGAAATGAATTCTTGAAAGAAAAATTGAAACTTAACTCAATTTGAAACCATTTTGCGAATTTTCTGACACTAAAAAGGATATGCGTTCCAATCAGGGAAAGGTTTTTATGTAAACTTTAGGACGAGAAAATCAGGTGCGCGTACCTCACATGACGAGGATGCTTGGTTCATACATCAGTGAATAATGTTATACAGATTCCCATAATCGTTCATACAGTACTGTGCAGTATTTGGGGGGGGGGGGGGGTTGAACAC